ACTGGAGCGCAATTCTGAACGATGGGAACAAACCGCCGATCCCAAAATGAGGTCCTCGCCTCCGCGGCAGCCCGAAAACACTCCGATTGGAAAAAGGCGTGGGAAGATCTTGGAATACATTTGACAAAAATAGTGGTTCTACTCCCAGCCATCTTCAGCGGAGAGAGGAGAGCAGCATTCATCTCAAGCTAGGTGTGGTCGAGCCGTATCTGATACCCGACTCCTCCACCCATCCCTTCCCATTGCGCCGTTTGCCTTTATCCGCCGACGCGTGTCACAGCTTATTAACGGGCATGGAACTCCAAAGAGGATCCCATCGCGTTATACAAAATCGAAGAGAGAAGGGAATTGCGTACATTGGAGGAGGACGTGGCGGATGAGCGGCAGGATGGGCAGGAGGAAGAGGAGGATGAGGAGAAAGGCGGACGGCGACAAACAGCAGCAGCAGCAGCAGGAGCCAGAGTGGAAGGTGCGGGAGACGCAGGAAGACCAGGGCAAGGCGGAGGAGGGGAAATCAAGGGGGGCGGCAACTATAAAAAAGGACCCAGATCCAGAAAAATGGCCCGCGCTGAGGCGAGAGCACCATGCTGAACGAAGGGGACAAAGCGCCGATCCGAAAATTAGGCCCACGCTGCAGCGGGAGCACCGTTCAAAACACCGAAGACAATCGGATTGCAACTACAAGAAACGAGTCGGGACTTCTGGGAGCCGCGGACTGGAAAGTCACATCGGCAGAGGTCAGGGAAGTCGTGGTGGCAGGTGTCTCGCCGCGCGTAGCCTCGGAAGGACATTTCTCCAGCTGCTCCAGAAACGATGCAGGATGGAGAGCCCGTCCCGGGAAAGAGGTCGGGATTTTCGGGGGGGTCCCAGTTTTGAAGAAATAAGAATGTGACGTGCCCACCATTTGTCTAAACACATGGCAAATGTATGTATGTACATATATACATATATAGATCGGACCGATCCTTGCAAGCATACGTGTTGGCGGACCCAGAGCGCGCATGACCTCCCAGAAGTTCTCAAGAAAGCATGCATGAACAAGCACGACAGAGACGGAGATGGAAGCAGGCAGAGGGGTGTGAAGAAGGGACATAGCTGTTCAGTAATAGCAACAGCGCCGAGCGCTACCTACGCGGGAAGAAAACGGCGCCATGCGCTCGCTCTGTAGCAGAACAGCGCGTCGCGTTGAGCGAGGCAAGCGCGCGGGGTGGCATGGCGGGCCAGAGGCAGCTGAGGACGGGAGGCCACGCGGACACGAAACAGTGCCATGCGTGGCGTACGCAGCGGCTCCCTTCGAGCTGCGATGCGACAGCGCCGAGCGCTGCGTGACGGGACAGCGCCCCGTGCGTGTCTTTCTACACCGCTGGACCTCCCAGGGAACCACGAAAGCGGCGACAGCTGCGCACTTCGCACCCCCCCGCCCGGGGAAGCCGCGGGGTTCCAACAGGATCCCTGCGTAACTCCACTCCGCGCGACCCCCCCAGGAGCCCACGAAAGTGGCGACAGTTGCGCATTTCGCAGCCACCCACCCCCCGCAGGGGAGCCGCGAGGTCCAACGGGATCCCTTTGTAATTCCACGCCGCGAGGCCTCCCAGGAGCCCACGAAAGTGGCGATAGTCTCACACTTCGCAGCCCCCCACGGAGCCGCGAGGTCCCAACTGGAGCCCCGTACAATTCCATTCCGCGCGACCCCCCTGGGGCCCACGAAAAATGGTGAGAGCTTCACATTTCGCAGCCCCCGAGGGAGCCGCGAGGTCCCAACTGGATCCCCGTGTAATTCCACTCCGCGGGGCCTCCCAGGAGCCCACGAAGTGGCGACGGTTGCGAACTTCGCAGCCCCCCAGGGAGCGAGGTCCCAATTGGATCCCCGCGTAATTCCATTCCGCGCGACTTCCCAGGAGCCCACGTAAGTGACGACGGTTGCGCGGTTCGCAGCCCCCCAGGTAGCCGCGAGGTCGAAACTGGATCCCCGTGTAACTTCGCTCCGCGCGACCCCCTTGGAGCCCACGAAAGTGACGGCAGTTGCGCACTTCGCAGCCCCGCAGAGAGCCGTTCGGTCCCGACAGGATCCTTGTGTAACTCCGCCCCGCGGGACCTCCCAAGAGCCCACGAAGGTAGCGACATTTGTGCACTTCGCAGTCCCCCAGGAAACCGCGAGGTCCAAACTGGTTCCTCGTATAACTCCTTCCCGCGGGACTCCCCAAGAGCCCACGGAAGCGGCGACAGTTGCGCGCTTCGCAGCCCCCCCGGGAGCCGCGAGGTTCCGATGTGATCTCCGTGTAGTTTTTTTGTTTGCGGGACTTCCCAGGAAACCACGAAAGTGACGACAGTTGCGCGGTTCGCAGCCCCCAGGGAAGCCGCGAGGTCGAAACTGGATCCCCGTGTAATTTCACTCCGCGCGACCTTCCAGGAGCCCACGAAAGTGGCGACGGTTGCGCATTTCGCAGCCCCCCAAGGAGCCGTTCGGTCCCGACAGGATCCCCGTGTAACTCCACCCCGCGGGACCTCCCAAGAGCCAACGAAGGTAGCGACATGTGTGCACTTCGCAGTCCCCCAGGGAAAAGCGAGGTTCAAACTGGTTCCCCATGCAACTCCTTCCTGCGGGACTTCCCAAGAGCCCACGGAAGCGGCGACAGCTGCGCGCTTCGCACCACCCCGGGAACCGCGAGTTTCCGATTGGATCTCCGTGTGGTTCCATTCCGCGGGATTTCCCAGAAGACCACGAAAGTGGCGACAGTTCCGCATTCCTCAGCCTTCCAGGCAGCAGCGAGTTTCCAATGTGATCCCCGTGTAGCTCCACCCCGCGGGGCCCCCAGAAGTCCACGAAAGTGGCGACGGTTGTTCATGTCCCAGCCCCCCAGGGAGCCGTGATGCCCCTACTAGAAGGAAGGGGGAACAGGAGGCAGGAAGTAGGAGGCAGGAGAATGGAGGAAGGGGGGGAGAGGAGAGGAGTGGAGACCACAGCGCTCTATTCAAAACGAGAACCCAACACAGGAGGGTTGGGAAATACCACATCGGTGTTCTGGGGAGTCTATTTGTGATGCGCGACAGCGTCCGCCACAGATGTTTAAGAACGTTCCAGAGCAAGCATCACTTCCGGGGAATCGATGGGTTGGCCTCTCGCCATCGGCGGAAGGCTGGTGGTGAAACGGACGGACGCTAAGTTGCATTCCAGACACTGCTGGATCCCAGAGAGGGCCATTGATTCAATGCGAGCGTTTCACGCCGATTACTGCCCGAATTTGCGTGCGGAGAACGCAAGCCAACGCCTTCCAGCAGCTCAGAGGCGATTCCAGGGGCCTCCAACGTGTATATTGGGACCTATGAGGCCCCCAAAGGATCTCCAAGGGCCCCGAAGGCCATATCAGAGTGAGGGGGCCGATCGAGCTTACATTGTCCCTGGCCGCGTGGCTGAAGCGAGGACCCGCGGTGCGGATGTGTGTTGATGGTGTGTTGGATTGTGGCGTGCTGCTGTTGTTGCTGAAGAAAAATTATCGTTGCCCCCCCCCCTGCGCGGTAACCATTGTATTGTTTCAATTACAGTATTCGTTCCGAGGCTCGCACCTTGTTTTTTTTTACAAAGTAAGGTGAGGTGTCACCACATTGGGACCTTGGCCCCCGAGTTACAACAACAACAACAACAACAACAACAACAACAGCAGCAGCAGCAACAACAGCAGCAGCAGCAACAACAGCGGCTCCCGCCGAATACTCCTTTCAATTGATTTCAAAATCGCGCTCCCGCGCGGGATTTTCTCCCAATGTATGCAAGAATCGCGCTCTCGCGTGGGGCGCCTTCGCAATTGATTCAGACGCCGCGCCGTCGACACTCAGGAATCACGCTCTCGCTGCGGATGTCCCCACGATTTATTTGGGAATGGCGCTATCGCTCGAGACTTCCTCGCGATTCATGTTGGACGCACGCTTCCTTCCCGACCCGCACGTCAGAGTCTACCCGCCTGATCTGCCCGTCTGGTTTTGCCATGCGTTTTCTGCTCCTAGCCCCCTCCTGCTACTCCCCGTCGTGCTCCATCCTCCTGCCTCCCCCTTGTCCCTTGCTTTCATCCGTGCTCTCTTCCCCTGCCTCAGGGGCTGCACGAAATACACGTCGCAGGTGAGAAATATATACCCCCAAGGGGGTACGATCGAAGAGGAAGAGGGCGGGTATCGAGGGATTGGGATATAGGTGTTGAACGGAACGCAAGCAGATAAGAGCGAGCAGTCTTAAAATGATTGTTGTTGTAGGTGGTGGTGGTGGTGGTGGTGGTGGTGGTGGTGGTGGTGGTGGTGGTGGTGGTGGTGGTGGTGGTGGTGGTGGTGGTGGTGGTGGTGGTGGTGGTGGTGGTGGTGGTGGTGGTGGTGGTGGTGTGGTGGTGGTGGTGGTGGTGGTGGTGGTGGTGGTGGTGGTGGTGGTGGTGGTGGTGGTGGTGGTGGTGGTGGTGGTGGTGGTGGTGGTGGTGGTGGTGGTGGTGGTGGTGGTGGTGGTGGTGGTGGTGGTGGTGGTGGTGGTGGTGGTGGTGGTGGTGGTGGTGGTGGTGGTGGTGGTGGTGGTGGTGGTGGTGGTGGTGGTGGTGGTGTCGTTGTTTTTATTGTTGGTATTGTTGTTGGTGGCGTTGGTATTGGTGCTGGCGTTGTTGTTGTTGTTGCTGGTGGTGGTCATGGTGGTGGCGGGGTGGTGTTGTTAAGGGCCTGGCGCCCACGTGGGCCACAACAACCCCCCACTCCCCTCACAACACACATATTCGGGGCCTCGAGGGGTGGGTGTTGTGGGAGGGAGTGGTTGGGCCTCCGTCGAAACCTTTCGGGTGTCGGACAACGCCGGGTGCGTGTGGGCATGGAGATTCTTCAAGGATTCCTTCAGGTGCTTCAAGGCCTCTGAGGGAATCTTGCAAATGTCTGGAAGCTTCCTGGGGAATTCTGGCGGGTTCCTTCGGGATTCTCACAGAATTCCCAGCGCTGTTGGGTATCTTGAACAATTCTGGAGAATTGCCCGCGAAGCCTTTGGGTATCTTGAACAATTCTGTCAGATTCCTGAATGATTTTGGGAGCGTCGGAACGATTTTTGTGGAATCCGCGAAGATCTCCAAAGCATTCGTAAGATTTCTTTCGGGATTCGCGAGGGTTCCGAATGGGTTCGTCGGGTTGTTCAGAGATTTGCAAACATGCTTGAAGAATTCGGTACCAATACGCAAAGGCTCGTGATGTTCGTGCGGATTCCCATGGGGGCGCGTGAGGTTTCTGTAGTGATTCGTGAGGATCCCGATCGGAGTCGTGAGAATATTCTTGGCATTCGTGAGGATTCTTCGACGATTCGTGAGATGCCTGAGGTGGTCGTGCGGATTCCTCAAGGATTCCTGACGATTCCTGCGAAAATTGCTGGGGTTCCCAAGAAGAAGTTGTGAGGATTTCTCCCGAATGTGTGAGGATTCTTCCGAGATTCGCTTAGAATCCGCAAGGATTCGTGAGGATGCTCGAGGGGGTCGTGAGGATTTCTCGGGTTTGTGAGGATGCAAGCTTTCGCTGGGATGTTTCAGCGAATCCTGAAGAGTCCTTGAGGGATTCACTACGATTTCGCACGGATCCCTGAACATTCCTGTTTCACGACGCGTCTGCAGGGATTCGTTCGGATTGTTTTGGTATTCGGTAGGAAGCCGCAGGGAATCGGATCCTAAACGGTTCATGCGGATTCTCGAAGGATTCGGGAGGTTGCCGTGGAGATTCGTGGGGAGTCCCCTAGGTATTTGCGAAGATCCGAGAGCGAGTTGTTGCGGGCTTTCGTTTCAGGGATTCGTCGGGATCCCTCGGGCACTCCTGAAGACTCCCCCAGGCAACCGTGAGGATTCCTCACGGACTCGCGGGGACTCCCGAGAGGTTGATGAGGATTCCTTGGGGAGTCGTCCGGATTCTTTGGGGGATTCGCGGGGGTCCCGCAGGATTCGCGAGGATCCCGTAGCGATGTGCGAGAGTTCCCTATGGGTGTCGCGAGGGGCACGCAGCCCCCACAGCACACGCAGGCCCCACAGGGCTCAAAGGCCACACGGGCTCCACGGTTCCCAGTGCTCCCAACAGCGCTGATGGCGCAGATGCTGCGCTTGGTGATACTGATGGCAGCGAAAAGGGCACAACGGAGCGGGATGGGCAAGCGCACGGAGACAGTCAATGTTGGCGAGAAAGAGGAGGCAACTTTCTGAGGAATGGCTACTGTGTGGAAGGCTCTGTAGGAACGAATGTTTACGAGCGAACCCTTACTTTGCATTCCGTACTCAGCATTCCTTCGCAAGGACTCTTTAGCCAGGATTCCGCCTTGAGGATTCATGCGCAAGAAATTACCATTCAGGAAGGATTATTTGAGTAAAGATTCCTACATGCGGGACCCCGTTTGCAAGAATCCTGTGTTAAGGATTATGTTCGTAAAGATGTTTGAGCAAGGGTTCTTTGTTGAGGATTTCGCATTAAGGATTCCCGTAGTAGAGATTATTCAGTAAGGGTTCTTCCGTAAAGATTCTTCCGTAAATATTATTCAGCACTTTTTTAGTAAGGATTATCCTGTAAGGGTTCCTAAGGATTCCCCAGGGATGGAAAGGACATTTACGGATTCTTCGCCACGCCAGTGCGCACATGCTCTCCCATCTCAGGAATTCGGGAGGCCAAGGAAGGTTGGAGCAGGCCAACTTTAATGAGATTGTCGTGGGGGTGGTGCGAGGGGCGGGGGGGGGAATGGGTGTTGTGGTTTTTGCCGGGGTTGTGTTCTGGATGGGTCGGCCTTGGTGGCCCTGGCCTGTCGGAAAGGGCCTCCAGCGCCGGCCTGTGACGGGTCGGCGCTGCAGGTTTTTTGTTTTGTTGTTGTGTTATTTTGTTGTCGTCGTACTCGCCCGCGCTCCCGCGACCAACCCACGACCCACCCGCAACCCAACCGCAACCCGCCCACGACCCACCCGCGACCCACCCAGCTTGCCTTATCGAAAAATCAGCACCTGCGTAGAGCTCGTTGTCTTATATGTAAAGCACCGCCGTTTGCGGCGGGCTTCTTCGAGTTCGCCTTCGAGCCTCGCAGATTGCCGACGATCCCCCCACTGCGGGGGCTATGGTATCCAGGGGCTTCAACATTTTCCGAAGGGCTTCCACGAGCGACCATTAGCTGTTCTACTGCCTCCAGAGTTGCCCGAAGGAGTTTCAAAGGAGCTGCTTCGGGGGGACTCGGGACTCCCAGGAGCCCACAGCGGGCTTCCAAAGGCCGTCGTGGGCGTCCAAGAGGGCTCCAGCATACGCTGGCGCTCCCCAAAGATAGGCATATGATAGACAGATTTTCAGTTGGAGGATGAGCATCCGACAGGTATTCCAGCAGAGGCGTGGGAAGCTAGGGAGACATATAATAGGCATCGTTCCAGTGGGTGGATGGGCATTCAGATGGGCATCGGATAAGCATCTTTCCAGCAGGGAAATGGGCATCCGGATTAGCATACGACAGGCATCTTCCATCCCTTGGGCATGGGCACCTGATAGGCATCTCTGGGACCGCCCCGGGGGAACGCCGCTCGGGACCCCCTCGTGTTCAGCACATTAGGGATGCCGATGTTCGGTGCTCTGCGGTGCCTATATGGTAGGCATCTCCAGGACCGCTCTGGGGGGCGCGCTGGTCGACCCGCCCCGCTCGATGGCGCGTCGCACGTCGGTATCTCCCCCGCCCGACCTCGGCAGCCTGAAGCCTGGCACCCCGTGCATGCCCCGCCAGGCCTGCTCTGCCGCCTCTGCTTCGCCTCGGTTGCAGTCGGCGGCACGCTGCCCCTGACATGTGCGACGCCTCGACTTTTGCCAGCACGGGGTCCGGGGAGGTCCCGACCCTTTCGGGGGCCCGCGTATCGGCCCGAGCGGTTTCTGGACGGCCCCGGAGCCCGGCGAAGGTTCCCGGGGGCCGAAAACGGCCAACAGCCGTCCGTCGTGATACTTTCAAGACGCGTGGGTGCCTGAGCCCAGAAACCGCGTCGTCGTCGTCGTTGTCGCCGTGGTCGCCGTCGTCGTCGTCGTCGACGTCTTCGTCGTCGTCGTCGTCGCCGTCGTCGTCGTCGTTGTCGCCGTCGTCGTCATCGTCGACCTCGTCCACGACGTCGTCGACGGCCTCGGCGGCCCCCGCGGCTCGCCCGCGGCGGTCCTCCGAGGTTCTGCCCGTCCACCGGCGAGACCGCGCTGGCGCTCTGGCGGCACGGCGGGCCGGTGGCTTCCGTGGCCTTCGGCACGGGACAGGGGCACGAGGCCCGCAGCGGGCAAGGGAGGGGGTTGCGAAAGGGATGGGGGGGGTAATTACTGGCCGGCCGCTCTGCAGTTGATCGGGAGCTTCTGTATATATAGACGCAGGGGCGTGCGCCTGTGCTCGACGACGACGGTGAGAATGAGCGGGCGGCGGTGGCGGGGCGTGCGAGGATCAGGAGGGTGAGGATCAGGAGTGTGAGGCCCACGAGCTGGAGGTCCGTGGAGGTCATCCGTCCTCCTCCTCGTCCTCCTCGTCCTCCTCCTCCTCCTCCTCCTCCTCCTCCTCCTCCTCTTCCTCCTCCTCCTCTTCCTCCTCCTCGTCCTCATCCTGCTCGTCCTGCTCATCCTCGACCTCCTCGTCCTCCTCCTCCTCCTCTCCTCCTCCTCCTCCCCCGTTTCCTCCTCCTCCTCCTGCTCCTCCTCCTCCTCCTCCTGCTTCCCCTCCTCTTCCTCCGCCTCCTCCTCCGCCTCCTCCTCCTTTTTTTCTCCTCCTCTCTCCTCCTCCTCCTACTCATCATCATCATCATCATCATCATCATCATCATCATCATCATCATCATCATCATCATCATCATCATCATCATCATCATCATCATCATCATCATCATCATCATCATCATCATCATCATCTTCCTTCTCCTCCTCCTCCTCCTGCTGCTCCTCCTCCTCCTCCTCTTCCTCCTTCTCCTCCTCCTCCTCCTCCTCCTGCTGCTCCTCCTCCTGCTGCTCCTCCTCCTCCTCCTCCCGCCTCCCTTCTCCCTGATCCGTCCTCCTGCGTTTTCCCCGCTGCTCATCCTTCTGCTCCTCGTGCTAGTCATCGTTTTCGTCCTCGTCCTCGCCCAGTGCGCCTGGCGCGCCCGGCGCATCGCTGGAAATGCTACTTGGGGGTGTGCTGGGGGCCCGTGGGGCGATTTTGCGAGGATGTTTCGAGCGACGGGTGGGGACACGCCTGGCGCGCCAAGCGCATCGCCAGAAATGGTCCTTGGGGGTGCGTTGGGAGCCCGAGGGACGATTTTGCGAGGATGTCTCGAGCGAGGGGGCGCCAGATGGGGACACGCCCGGCGCGCCTGGCGCATCGCCAGAAATGGTCCTTGGGGGTGCGCTGGGGGCCCGTGGGGCGATTTGCGAGGACGTCTTGAGCAAGGGCGCCAGATGGGGACACGCCCAGCGCGCCTGGCGTATCGCCGGAAATGGTCCCTGGGGACGTTCAGGGAGGCGACTTTCTGGCGCGCCGGGGGTCAGGATGACGTGAGTTCCACAGAAACTCTTTCACATAATTAAGTGGATGCCAACACAGCTTGTGAGTCGGCTAGAAGTGCCCCAAGTGGCTCAGAGGGGTAGGAAAAGCTGGGCCAAGTGGACCAGAGCCGCCTGGGGCCTGAGGTGGCCCAGCACTTGTTCCAGCCAGCAGGGAAGGGGGGCAGGTTCGAGGCTCTGGGTTCGAGGAGGTATTTTGCTTCTTTGCTTGTTGGGCCTATGGGGCAGTTTCTCGGGGCAAGGGACCGTCATGGCTCCATCTCCCCTCCTGACCGATTCCCCCCCGCCGCCTCCGAGAAGGGTGCCTCGTCTTCGGATCTGCCGTACTTTGTGACTTCGCCAGTGGGGCGGAGGCTTTCGCCCTGCTCAAGCTCTTTTGTTTTGATGTCGATGTGTCCGCCCTGCTTTACCGTCGCTGCTTCCGCCTACTTTTGCGGAAATATCCGCCCTCCTCTTCAATTGTCCGTTTCATTTTTCTTTATTATCGCTAGGCCCGCTGCGGGCGACGAGGAATCGGAATCGGACTGAAGAAATGTGTCCATCATCTGGCGACGGATCTTTACACATCCACTGCCTTTGGCCAAGCCCATCCTGGCCCCAGGAGCGGTGTAGATTGAAGTCGGGCATATCACTCTACAGGGGGAAAATCCAAAATAGTCAAAAAATAGTAGGGGTACGTTTTTTTGAGGGCTTTTGGGAGCATTTTGAAGGTATGGTTTTCATTGTTCGTCCCAAATCCGCCTGTAAAAGGACACGCCCGACCTAAGTGTAGATGCCTCCCTGGCCAGGCCAGGAGGGCGTATACACTGGTCCTGGTCCCAGGGCGCGCCTGGCCAGGGGCAGTGCACGTGTGTATGGGTGTATGGACCTCGTTGCCCTGCGCAACGGTCACTGCATTATCCAACGCCGTGCTGAAGAGGAGCTGGCGAGCGAGATTCAGGGGAAGCTCCCGCCTCGCAGGGCTCATTTCGATTCATCCCATTCGATTTGATTCCGGTAGATTACGATTCGATTCGGTTTCGGATTCCGATGTGGCTTCCAATTTCTCATTGTAGGCATAATGGCCTGCCGATATCCGCCGATTCGACTTCTCCCGACTCAGATGCCGATGTCCGCCGATCCGATTCATTTCGATCGCCGATCCGACTTGTCGATTCGATTCTGGGCACTCCTGGCCTCCTCCCCCGGAGAGACCGGACCGCGCCTCTGCACGAAGAATTCGTTGAGCCAGAGTGGCCCCAGCTCGAGTCTTCGCCAGGCAGCTCGTCCTGCCCGCCCTGCGTGCGGGCGAAGCGGGCGGGGGAAGGAAGGGCCCAGAGCCCCATCGCGTCCGCGAAAGAGTCACGACGGGAGGTGTTCGGCAAGTGTGTCGGCGCCCGGGGGCCCTTGCCGGGCCCCAGAGCCCTCAGAGAACGACTCGGGGCAAGAAGCCGGCCCTGGGAAGCGGGTCTGTTCTTGAGCCGGCGGCGCAGAGGATCATCAGGCGCGGACGGCAGATGGAGGTGCCAGTTGCGATCGAGCACTTTCGAAGGCACGGTGTGCAAACGTGCGCACTGTCAAGTGCAGCAATGGGTTGTGTGAAGGAGGAGCTGCAACTCCGAGCGAACTGCGCCGCGGCCAGAACACCGAGGATGCAACTCAACTCGAGGCAAACTGAAGCGCGAGCCGGGGAACGGGTCGAGCGAGAGCTCTCGGGGTCAGAGGAGGCCCGTTGCGGGCGAGGGGGGGGACAGCAAGGGTGTTCGCGGCTCGGTCGGTTCGGCTGCGTCGCAGTCGGCTGCGTTCGGTAGGTTATTGCGTGCCGTGTCGCTGCGCCCTTCTAGGCTGCTTGCGGCCTATCGATTTCAGTCGGTTTCGGTGTTTCGCTGTCGGCTCGGGCAGCTCGGAGTGGGAGGAGGGGCGGGAGAAGGAGGGGGGCGTCGAAGCAGAGAACAATCGGCGTAAACAGAACACCTTCATGGAGCTCCGCACTAATTTCTTGGATCGGCGTTGGGCTCCCCCGGGCGGCGCCTCCAGCACCGCGGCCCCCCGAACACTGATCATGCAGCTTATCTTCGTGAGGATTCAGAGGAGGGCGAGGTGCTCTGCCGCCGCGGGCGTGTCGCCCCCCATTTCCTTGGCACAGCAAAGGAGGGCGAGGTGAGACACTGGTACTCGGACTTCGGAGGAGGACCCCTCCTTGCCACGGCTGGACACAGCTCGAAAAAACCAGAGCGTTGGGACCCCGGGAGGCATCCAGGGGCCGATGTTGAGTTACCGTTGTCTTCAGTCGCTCTGCTCCGAAGGGGGCGGGGAGGAAGGGGAGGGAGGAAGAGGAGGAGGAGGAGGAGGAGGAGGAGGAGGACGAGGAGGAGGAGGAGGAGGACGAGACGAGGGGGAGTAGGGAGAGAGGTGAGGCAGAGGAGGGGGAGGAGGATGATGGGAAGGAGGAGCCATCCGCGATTCGGGACGGCCGTGTGCAGCCCAAGGGGCTTGGGCGAGCGTGGGATTGCCATCCACACCAGCCATATCTACGGCCTTCTTCCCCTCCATAGACATCATGCGTGGCCTCAGTGCTGATGCCATCTGGGATCCCCCCCGCCATTATATCCTTGCCTCCTCCTGCTGCCCTAAGCTGCTCTTGCGTGCCCCGGGTCTTGTGATCCCGACACCCCATCCATGTTTCGGTGATGTACATATATATAGCATTTGCACACACCTATGTATAAACACATATGTAGATTCATACGTACATGCAAACACACATACATACCTGCATATATGCATACAAACATGCATGCATGCATACATGCATACCTGCACATGCACATGTGTATATACATATGTACATGCATGCACATATATGTATATATAGTCACATACATACATACATACATGCATGCATGCATGCATACATACAGACAGACAGACAGACAGACAGACCGACATACTTACAGACGTACATACAGACAGACAGACAGACAGACAGACAGACAGACAGACAGACAGACAGACAGACAGACAGACAGACAGACAGACAGACGTATGTAACAAAAAAGTGTGCCTTGATGTCCAGCCCTGCGGGGTGGGGGTCGCGAGTGCCACAGGGGGGGGGGGGGGGGGGGGGGGGGGGGGGGGCAAGACGGCCCCAGAGTGCCCCAAAGGGGGCCCCAAGAGGGCTCCAAGAGGCCTTTCGGACGGCCCAGGAGGGCCTCGAGCGATCCAAGACGCTCCAGATGGCCTCCAGACGGCCCAGGAGGCCTCCAAGACGCCCCAAGAGGCCTCCAAGACGCCTTCCCAACAGAGCTCCAAGAGGCAAAGTTGGTTGACTCTCATTGGAAAACGCATACATGTTTAGCATATGCGGCTGTTCGGCATCCGCTGCATCCAAGACGCCCCGAGACGCCCCAAGCGGGCCCTACGACGGCCCAAGAAGCGCCCAAGGGCCCAAGAGGGCCCCCAGAGGAGGAATTCGAATTGGGGGCCCGAGGAGACCACCAGCAGGCCCCCAAGAGGCCCAAAAAAGCCCCCTAAACGGCCCTCAGGTTCCCCCAAGTGACCTCGAAATTCATAAACGACCGAGCGCCATAACCGACCCAACCCGATCATATACCAAACCGAGGAACGAATTAGTACGGCGACGGCCAGCGAGCCAGTATACATATAGAGTTACATATGTTACAGACATCCACATATACCTGTGCATGCATACACCCTCCATGATTGTTGCTTTCTTGTTCCTGCAACCCCATCTACCTCATCTCCCACTCCCAGATGTTCTTCCTCTGCCCAGATCGTCCATGTTTGTGTTGCGTGTTCTGAGTATGTATATATATATATATATGTATATCTACACATCCCCTGGCACAGGCAAAGTCAGCGTCTGCTGCATTTCCGAATACCAGGGTATTGCGACTTCTGCCATCAAGGACCACACCGTGCGGCTCGCCTCGATATGCGCGACTTCAGGACAGTGTTTGAGCGCCAAGGCACGACCCTGCCACAGTCTAAGACACCACCTAAGCGGTACTTCCCACGACGCGCGATCTCAAAACGAAGTGTTTCGACAGAGTTGCAAGTACTCGTGCGTTCAAGCGACGGTTCAATGTCATGCAAGATCGGCGCAGTAGAAGGACACGGGCACTAGGACAGACATAGCAGCCATCCCGACTACGTCTGCCAGCAGGAGGGGAGGGATGTCCGATTATTGATAGGATGTTACGTTATCCTGCTGCTGCTGGGTTGCAACCTTCCTAGATGGCCCCATCCGCCCCCTGCAGGTGACCATCGGCTGCAACGACGGCAGCGCCCGGATCTTTGATTTGCGAAAGGGAGACCAGCCATTGCAGGCCATTTTTGCCGCCGCAGCAGCGAGAGCAAAGCGGGCAGGTAAGAAAGAGGTAAGTGCTGCGGCAGGGTCATTGCGCCTTGGAGCCCCGTCATTATCGGTATTGGTGCGTGCTGCCCTCGACCCTCGTCTTCCATTGCTGGTGCATGCTGTCCGCTTGCCAGGCCTTGCTCATCCCATCCCCTTCCCTTGCTGCTGTGTGCCGTCATCTGCCCAAAGGGGCTGGTGCTCCGTTGTCAATCCGCCGCAGGGCTCGGGCGGGAACGATCCCAGCGCGACCCCACAGTTGAGATGCCACGTCATCCTGAAAGCAGCCGTGGTGTCGGTTCAGTGACAAGACAGTGGCAATTTTGGGGCACACACTTGGCACCCTCCGTGTTGATCTAGCAAAGTATTTGGCACCATTTGTGTGACATGGCCAGGGGGCACCATACGCCGTCCGCATTGAGTGCGGATAGCGCTCTAAACATATTGAGTGCGGGAGGTGGTGTCTCTCCACCAATGCAAGTACAGTGAGGGCTGCCTCTGCGTCAGCTACAGCGACGCGGGCTGGCTGGTGCGCTGCCTAGCATAGCCGCCTTTGGTTGCTGACCAGTCGAGACAGGAACATGGGCGTGGAGCGACACGTGGTGTGACGGAGGGAGCGTGAGCAAGGGCAAATGAAAAAGGGTGAGAGCGAGAGAGGGAGACTTGGGGAGAGGAGACAGCTACTGCGGGGCAGCTTTCATGATGAATACCTTCAAGGGCATCCGAGGGTCCCGCTGCTCACCAGGGCAAGGCCAGGTCATAAACCCGCGGGCTACAGATGCTCTGACCTATTCTGAGACAACTCCGCTGTGGAGCGCCTTCGTCAGGCCCTGCATCATGGGAGGAAGGAAGACGCAGAGCCAGCAGGAACCGCGACACGCTTCTCAGGGGCGAGTGGAGGGACACGTAAATATCAGAACAACGAATTACGCAATGCAGAGGGTGTGTGAGAGAGAGAGAGATGCAGAAGGACGCTCTGAGCATGAAGGTCGCGAGGGCACAGTGTGTGTGTGTAGAGAGAGAGAGAGAGCGATGCAGCGGGCCACTCTGAGCACGAGGGCCGCGAGCTACGAGCCACCTCGCACACCATTACCACCAGGGACTCACCCATCACGCGAGAGGTACGAGGTGCCACAAACGTTACGCCACCACCGAGTGGACTCCTGATCCTCACCTCGCGCTTGAAGGCACCTCTCGGCCGCAGGGCCTTGGGCCACGAGCCATCAATTCGAGCCTTGGTCGACTGACTCCAAGTGTTAGGGGGCGCGCTCACCTCAGTGTGATCCCCGTGGTACAGAACCAACGTTGGAGATGGGTTTGACGAGCAGGACCGGCCAGAAAATCGGCGCATCCGGGAGATGGCGCAGTCAAGAATTCGTCTTCCCTCTGACAGGGGATGCAGCTTCGGGAGTTCAAGCCCGCATATATACCGCGCGTGTGCGTACACATTCGCACGGCCTCTCACGCGAGCCCCTATGCAACGACGGGCGAGGGTGCCAGGCGGCTCGCGCGGGAACCCCCCGTTTGCTTGGTCAGACGTTGGGGCGCGCGGATCGGCTTGATTGTAGAAATCCCAGACGCGATAGGTCATTCCGCCTACTTGGGCAGCAAGTGTCGCGGGCAGCCCTGGTTCAGCCGCGCCCCCACCAAGGGGGAGAGGGAGCGCGATGGCAGCGACGAGTGCCGTCATCGTCGCCATCGCCCTCAGCGTCCATCATCGCTTCGTCCGCGCGCTCTCCACAGCCGCTGGCTCGAGCCTCGGCTAAGCTTTCCCTGGGCCCACCCGCCCAGGTTTGCGCAACATGCGGCTTCAGTGGGACTGGTGTCGAATGGCTTGCTCTGGACACGGCCCAGGGACCTCATCCCCGCGGAGCCGCTTCCCAGCCACGCAGCAGCGCAAAGCGGCGCCTCGCTCGCTGCCGGCGGGGCCGCGGCGGCAGGCGACGGCGGCGCCGCCGCACCGTGGCCCCACCCGCATTGGCAGCATCGAGGAGGCCCCCATGCATCACATGCAAGGCACGGGTGTTCCCCCTTGACCTGTGCCCCCCCCCCAGGTGTGCGGGGGAAGGGAGAGCGTCCCCGCGCAGCTCCTGCACGGGACCCGCGCTTGCCAGAGAATCGTCTTCCTCTTCTGCGCTACCTGGGCCCCGTTCGTGGTTGCTGGCGATGTTCAAATCACACTCCGACAGAGTCTTCCTCCGGGACATCCCCTGGCCGTCGTCTTTTCTTTCCTCCTTCCCCACTGGACTGGCCGCCGCGGCCCGCCCAGGGACGAGGCCGTGCAGCGAGCAAGGGCGACGGCAAAAGCGACCCTAGCCAGCCCCCGCGAGGATGATCAGAACCCTTGGCACGAGGGCCACAGGTGACACGGGGGGCCACGAGGTCACAGGCCGCCAGTCACCGAATCGACTCGGGCTGAGGCAGCTCGCCCGGTTGCGAGGGCAGCCGAGTCGAGCGCCCGTCGTGCGACTGCGCCGCGACGGGAGGCTCCCTGGCTATACTTGGCTTGCGCCCTCTGGGGGGAGTGGCGGGCGTGCCCTATCGGAGTCCCCGCGCCCCCAGTTGGCCCGCAGAGGCTGCCGTGCCTCGCAGGGAACGGCTGGCGCAGCGCCGCGCCAGGGCTCCTGGCGTCGCTGGCGCCGCCCTCGGCACTGAGGCCTGGGAGGGCGGACCCCGGCAGAAGCCGGGCCGGGCGCAGGGAAGGCCGTGGCAGCAGGGTGCCCGCGAGGGCCAGCCCTGGCGTCGGTCTCCTGCCCGTCGGCGCAATCCTTTGCTTCGAAGCCCTCGCACTGTTGCTGTTGCTGCGGGGGGGGGTCGGGAGTAGGCCCTTCGCACGCCCAACCGCAGAGGGTATGGGCAGCATCGTACTCCCCAGATCCCAGGGGAGGGCCAGGGGGGGCTAAACATTTCTGCCACGACCAGATCCTATTGTCCCAATGCAGCGGCGCGACGAGGGGTTGTCATGGTCGATGCCTGTGTTCCCGTACGCAGGCCGTACATCGCAGTGTCACCCGAAAGGGGGGCTTGCCGAAGTCACCGCAAGCAGGGCCAGCCGCGCCCAATCAGTCAGGGTGGGGTCCCTAGGCGCCGCTGTCCAGGATGAGGCTCGCGCCTCGAAAGCCGTATGGTGAGAATTCTCTAGCGGAATATTTTAGCATCTACGTTGAGGCAGACCATGGGCCACCCATGGCTATGTCAGCGGTGGTTTTCTCAGCATCGGGGCCAAGTTGTCTGGTAAAGATCATGGGTCGTTGCCACCGTCGGCCAGGCTGCGGTTGGAGCGGCGCTGCTGGCGGCACCGTCTTGGGAAACGATGAAGCCGTCAGCGCCAAAAGAGCGTGTATCAGACTTGTTGAGAATGCCTCGTATCGAGAGGGGAGCGGCACCAGGGCCAGGACCAAGGGGCCACGAGCAACCGAATCGATCATTGAGCCTATCACCTCACTGTTTCGTCGCGCCCCGTTGCGCGTCACCCAGGGGGTGCGATACCACTTCCAGCCCGATCAGTGACTACGGAAGCACACACACACACACACACACACACACACACGCCCATAATTGCGACCCCGAAGCTCGGGCCGAACGAAAGGGGGGGATAGGGAAAGGGGGGGTTACGAAATCTGCTGCATGCAGCTGGTTTCCGCCCCGCCACCAGGCCCATTCCTCGATACATGGGCGCCTCCCGGCGCCGGGAGGCGCTGGGAAAATCAGCTACGTGAGCTGATTCTCAAACCCCCCCTTTGCTATCCCCCCCTTTCGCCCGACCCGAGAAGCACGCACACCGCAGACAGCGATTCCTTCGCAGCATCAAATTGCACCAGTAGCCTAGGAGGACGAGCGGCCAGGCAGCGCATGCAGCGGCGCGCCGCAGGCCGCGCTAGCGCACTGCGTGAAGCCTTGCGGGAGAAGGGGGGCGTGGGGAGAGCAAAGAGAGGCGGGGTCGGTGCAGCATCGAAGCGACCGACGGCACGGGAGGAGACGCCTGGCATCGCTCGGACGTGTGCATTTTTCCCTCGGCGAGGACCATCGAGGAGCATCTTTTATCATTTCGCGAAAAAACCACACACGAAACCGAAAAAAGCACAGGAAATGGACGTCCGAGCGATGGCCAGCGGCACGGGAGGAGACGCGGGGGAGAAGGGGGGGCGGCTGCAGAAAGGCCACAGGAGCGGGGGCCGGATGCGAGAACTTTCTTCCTGAAGCACGCGCGTCAGCCCAGAGAGGGGTTGGAGAGGAGGACGAGGAGAGGGAGAGCGGGCGAAGGGCGTTGTGAGCGCAACCCTTAGTCACCGCCGAAACGGCGGCCAGATGCGGGGCAGAGAGAGAGAGAGAGAAAAAAAAGAGAGAGAGAGAGAGAAAGAGAGAGAGAGAGATAAAAAAAAAAACATAGAGAGACGGAGAGCAAGAGAGAGAGAGAACAGCAAAAAACTATCGGAAACTAGGAGAGAGAGAGAGAGAGGCAGAAAAGACAGACAGAGAGAGAGGGAGGTCAAAGAGAGAGAGAGAGAGAAAGACAACACCAAAAAAGAGTGAAGGATGCTAGAGAAAAACAGCCTTGATTTCTTCGCCCAGGCCAGATGTAAATCGAGATGCCTGTAGCGAGCACAGAAATCGCATTCCCAATTAAACGCTAAAAGACACCTTATATCAAAACGTAGAGAGCGGGGGAGAGCAGAGTGGGAAAAGGGGATGCAGAAACGTCCGCACAAAGATGTTATGCCAGAGCAGAACTGGTTCAGCCATTCTTGGCGCACGCCCTCACATGGGGCGTTCCAGACAGAAAGGGCAGCGCCTTCAAAGGTTCGAAGGGATTGACGCCTCTTCCTCGGCGGAATTTGGCGGAAGCAGAACGAGAGCGTCTCCGCCGGCGGAGGTTGGCGGCAGAGACAGGTGCGCGCCCAAGGGACGGTAAAGTTTTTTTGGTACAGAGTTCTTGGAGCACGCCACATCACGGCCTCCATGCGTTAACGGGCGAAGAACGGTATAAAATTGAATTTGTCGCTGTCGGGGGCGCCTGTCCCTGGGCGGCTGGAAAGTTTATACCCTTACGGTGGCACCGTAGGAGTATAAACTTTCCAGCCGCCCAGGGACAGGCGCCCCGACAGCGAAAACGTTTATTTTATACCGTTCTTCGCTCGCTTAGTGTGGCACGGGCAGCACTGGCATCGTCCCGGCTGCTCGTTCCCCCGCGGCCCCCCTGTGCGTGGCCTTGGTGCGCGGCGCGCAGCCGCTCCGGAGTCGACACGGCTGCTCGTTGCCCGCGCCCTCGTGCGGCCAGTGCGTTCGAGGGAGCGATGCCATCGTGGAGTGGCGGCAGCACGCCTCGGAATTGAGGCTTCCCTCATCCTGTGACACTTTGACGGGGAAGTCACGTGAGAATCGTTGTCACCGACATTGGCGCGTGAGCTGCCCACGAAAGGTCGCGCGTACGCACCCTCGCTTCCACTGTCGAGTGCCGCGCTGGCGGCCCGCGCAAGCCACCGTGCAAGGTCGCCGTGTCATCTCGCGGAAGACCCGCTTCTTTTCGTTGCCCACGTGTGCCCCCCACCTTAGGCCACGAGCAAGGGCCACAAGCAACAGTATCGCATTGAAAGCGACAGAGCGCACGACGGCAACGGGTGACGTCTGGACAGCCTCACCATGCACACCACGGAGCAGAAGGCTACAGGCAGCCGAATCGCTCCTTGAGCCCCCCGATGCAGATCGTCATGAAGCTCCCTTGGCTGCTGGCTCTTCAGGGGAGGCTCCTGGGCCTCACTGAGCAGCTTCGGGCTCTTTCGAGGGAGCGATGTGTCTTGAAATGCTATGCCTGTCTGCCGAGGCGTCGATCTCATCGTGGTCGTGGTCGTCGCCTTCGTCATCACAGTTGTCACCGGCGTCGTCGCCGCCGTCGTCGTCGTGGTTTCCGTCACCGTCGTCGCCGTCGCCGTCGTCGTCGCGGCCGTCGTCGTGGGGTGGCCGAGGCGACTGCAGGAGCCGACGCCTCGATGGCGGTGTTGGCACGGAGGCGGGCGCGGCCTGCATGATGCGCCGCGAGTGCCAGCAGTCTACCTTGGCGGCTCGTGGTCGGTAAGGCTTCGGGCTGCGCACAGACATCCCCCCGGGAAGTCCCGGCTGGCCTCAGCATGCCCCCCGAGCTGCCTGAGGCGGTCTCAACATCTTTGCGCCGCCTTTGGCGGCCCCCCTTTGGACGCTCCGCGCCCCAGGGATGGGGTGTTGAGACCGGACTACTCGGAGGGCCTGCCTGAGGCCAGCTGGGCGTGTTGTTTGGAGGTGTCTGCGCGCAACTCGAAGCCTTGCTATTCCTGTTCATCTCCTTCCTCTTGGAAACTTGGTGTGACACAGCCCGCCCCCCGATCAACGCATACAGCGCTAATGAGCTAATGACGCAGATTCTCCGCCCAGCCACGTGTCTGTCCCGCGGTGTTACGAGCTCGTGCAAGGCTAGGTAGTGGAGGGAGGAGCCAGTGGAGGGCCCGCAGAGACGAGCAAGCGCAATTCGAACCCTTTTTCGGTAGTCGCGAAGACAGGTCTCCAGCATTGTCACCCCGAGCTGCCACTACCGGTAAGGTCAGCCGTCAGGAAGCATTGCAATATTTCGCCGACGCGATCGTCAATGTTGTGGCCAGCACGGTGCGGACCGACTTGCATTCAGAATTGCTTCAACATGTGAATTCCACGACGGTGACAGAACTCTCTGGACGTCCACCGTCGACAAAATGTTATGGCGTTCCGTTCCTTCCACGTACTGTAAATGTGTTGGTATGGTGAATGTTGGTCACCAGATGCTTGCGCGTGAGCATACGCATTTGGGCAAGTAGATTGTACCAGGCATGCACGTGACGAAATCCGATATTGCCGTTTCTTGTTTCCATATTATGGTGGTTGTGGCAGTCGTGAAATGACGATTAGCGGGGGTCTGCGAATGGAGCAGTTGTGTTGTGATATCCGTTCGGCCAGTTATGTTGTGCTAAGATACGTTCAGCGCTATTGGCCAACAAGCGACGCAATGGTCGCAACCACAACCGTTTCGAACAAACATCAAGTAATTGCAATCAGTGTGCGCAGGTTTTATCAGCGTGTGTTGCACTGTTTTACGCCACTTCCCTGACCCTAGAAACGTAAAGGAGGAGGAATGTGAGCAAGGACGGAGTGGCAGAGGATGACCATGCACTTGTTAGTGCTGGGAGGTTCCGTTCGGACTCTGCAGAAGGAAACGCGTTGATACTTATCGTAGATACGCTTTGTATCATGTTCGCCGATGGTGTGGAATAGGAGGATGGACGATAATGGGGACGAGCACTCTTTGGAGTGGAGGAAGTCAGGGAACAGGTGGGCACGATGTTGAAATGGCCTATTGGGTTCTTCAGGGTTGGCAACGGAAGCCGATGCATGTTAGGCAGGGTTCTTCCTGAGGCAAGTGTTTGCTCGGCTGGGCTGTTGAAGCGCAGGCCAGATAGGCATTTCTTTTGACAGCGCGTGATGTAATGTTCCAATTCTGGTCTCCAGAGTCCTCCTTGGCAGGTCTTGGACCCTCCTATGGATTACTGTCGAAAGTTGGTGAATGATACCGAATGGGAACGGAATCCCCCAAACAGGAAATCCGTTCTGGGTCGTACAATGCGCGGCTCGCGCGCAGGCGAGGCGAAAGTTCGCTAGGGCGAAAGACATCCCGCCCTTAGGGCACGGTGCCATGTTCCTCCCCGCCAGCGGGAGATGAGTCCCAGGTTGTCCGGCAGATGTTTGTCCCGCAGATGTTGGGTAGTTGTTTCGTGGTTGTTTTGTGGTGTCTTGTTTTTCTCCTCTGATTGTCCCGCGGTTGTCACGGTTGTCACGTGATCATTCCGTGGTTGTATCGTTCTTGTCCCGCGGTTGGTTTGTGGTTGCTTTGTGCTCGGTATAATGAGATCAGCAGACAGTTCGATAGATCGTGAGATCGATAGATACATGCGCGATGTATACGTACATACTTACATGCATGCAGTGGTAATGGCACCGATACATCGGAAGATCGATAGAATCCGAATCAGGAACTTGCACCCATCTCCCCAAATCATTCTTTATCACCTGAAGGTTTGTCTTACCCGTATGTTTAGTTTGTGTGAGACGTATCAGGAAACTTACTGGGGCAGTGGGCATCATGGAATACGTACTTTTGGGACCCTTCAATATCAGTTGAGGCTCTCTCGAACGCATTCTGAGCGGGCACCACTGAGGCTTCTTGAGGCTTCTTGAAAGCGTGACAGCTAGGTGATTGACTACTTCGTAGCGCTTCGCGTATTCCGACGAGCCCATCCAGAAACGATGCCCGGCAGAGCTGCCTTGAATTCTTCGGCGGTGTGGGCATTATGTTGGCTTTGGGGCAGCCTTTTGGAGCGTTTTCGGTGTTTCCTTGGAGCTTCTTCGGCGCCTCTTGGGGGACTCATGGGGTCATTTACAGATCTCTTGGGGCATCTTCGGCGCTTCTTGGGAACATATGGAGCCGTCTCGGGACCATCTTGAAGGCGGTCGATCGAAGATAGGGGTCCTCTGAATGAGCTTCACCCTCCTAGGAGACCAAAGTTGCCCCAAATATTACGAGAAACAACAACAACAGCAGCAGCAACAACAACAACAAAACACAAAAACAATTAGCCTGGCGAAGGACCCAACCATATGCAGTTGTGAATGCCGCAATTGTGCTGGGTGGTGGCGGACGCATGCGGGCGGTGCCACTGGGACCTTCGGTGGGTGTGCCAGAATGGGGGGTGGAACCGCATGCGGGCGCAGCCACTGGGGCCTTCGGTGGAGCTCCTTATGGGGCCACGAAACGTGTGAGGGATGTGCCCGAATGGGGAGTGGAACCGCATGCGGGCGCAGTCACTGGGGCCTTCGGTGGAGCTCCCTATGGAGCCACGAAACGTGTGAGGGGTGTGCCAGAATGGGGGGTGGAACCGCATGCGGGCGCAGCCACTGGGGCCTTCGGTGGAGCTCCCTATGGGGCCACGAAACGTGTGAGGGGTGTGCCAGAATGGGGGGTGGAACCGCATGCGGGCGCAGCCACTGGGGCCTTCGGTGGAGCTCCCTATGGGGCCACGAAACGTGTGAGGGGTGTGCCAGAATGGGTGTGGGAGGGGGAGGAGGGGGGAGGAAGGGAGGAGGAGGAAGGAGGAGGAGGAACGCGGGGCGACGTCTCTTCAAACGAGGACCCAACACCACAAGATGGTTGGGACAAAAACAAAAAAATAGCCTGGCGAAGAACCCAACCATATGCAGTTGTCAGTACCGCAGCTGCGGGTTTCATCTTCAATGGAACTCCCCATAGGACTACGGAACGTGTGAGGGGTGTGCCGAGATGGGTGCCACTGGGGCATTCGGCGAAGCTCCCTATGGGGACATGAAACACGCGCGGGGCGTGCCGACATGGGTGGCGGAAACGCATGTGCGGGCCGCCACTGGGGCCTCCAGTGGAGCTCCCTATGGGTCCCCGAAACATGATGCTGCTGCGGGGGGGGGCCGGGATGGGTGGCGGAGACGCATGTAAGCGCCGCTACTGGGGCCTTCGGTGGAGCTCCCTATGGGGCCACGAAGCGCGTGAGGGGTGTACTGGGATGTGTGGCGGGGACGCATGTGAGCGCCGCCACTGGGGCCTTCGGTGCAGCTCTCTATGGGGCCACGAAACGTGTGAGGGGTGTGCCGAATTGGGTGCGGGTGGTGACGCATGCGGGCGGTGCCACTGGGGCCTTCGGTGGAGCTCCCTATGGGGCCACGAAACCTGTTGTTATGAGGGCGTGCCGGTGGAGCTCCCTATGGGGCCACGAAACCTGTCAGGGCGTGCCATGGGTGTGCGGGAGCGCGCATGTGACGCCGCCACTGGGGCCTTCGGTGGAGCTCCCTATGGGGCCACGAAACGTGTGAGGGGTGTGCCCGAATTGGGTGGGTGCGGGTGACGCATGTGAGCGCCGCCACTGGGGCCTCCGGTGGATGATGGGGCCACGAAACCTGTCAGGGATGTGCCGACATGGGTGTGCGGGACGCATGCGCATGTGAGCGCCGCCACTGGGGCCTTCGGTGGAGCTCCCTATGGGGCCACTAAACGTGTGAGGGGTGTGCCGAAATGGGTGTGGGTGACGCATGCGGGCGCGGGCACTGGGGCCTTCGGTGGAGCTCCATATGGGGCCACGAAACGTGTGAGGGTCTGTGCCGAAATGTGGTGTGGGTGACGCCATGTGGCGCGGCACGGGGGCCTTCGTTGGAAGCTCCCTATGGAGGCCACGAAACGTGTGAGGGGTGTGCCGAAATGGGGTGGCTGACGCATGCGGGCGCGGGCAATGCGGGCCCTTCGGTGGAGCTACCTAATTGCAGCCATGAACGTGTGAGGGGTGTGCCGAAATGGGTGTGGTTGACGCATGCGGGCGCGGGCACTGGGGCCTTCGGTGGAACTCCCTATGGAGCCACGAAACGTGTGAGGGGGGTGCCGAAATGGGTGTGGCTGACGCATGCGGGCGCGGGCACGGGGGCCTTCGGTGGAGCTCCCTATGGAGCCACGAAACGTGTGAGGGGTGTGCCGAAATGGGGGTGGGTGACGCATGCGGGCGCGGGCACTGGGGCCTTCGGCGGAGCTCCCTATGGAGCCACGAAACGTGTGAGGGGTGTGCCGAAATGGGTGTGGGTGACGCATGTGGGCGTGGGCACTGGGGCCTTCGGTGGAGCTCCCTATGGAGCCACGAAGCGTGTGAGGGGTGTGCCGAAATGGGTGTGGCTGACGCATGCGGGCGCGGGCACGGGCCTTCGGTGGAGCTCCCTATGGAGCCACGAAACGTGTGAGGGGGTGCCGAAATGGGTGTGGGTGACGCATGCGGGCGCGGGCACTGGGGCCTTCGGTGGAGCTCCCTTATGGAGCACGAAAACGGTGAGGGTGTTGCGTGTCGAAATGGGGGGGGTGGACGCATGCGGGCGCGGGCACTGGGGCCTTCGGGGAGGCTTCTATGGAGCACGAAAAACGTATGAGGGGTGATGCCGAAATCGGAACTTGCGCGTATTATGACTACTTTACTACTGGGGCCTTCGGTGGAGCTCCCTATGGAGCCACGAAACGTGTGAGGGGTGTGCCGAACTGGGTGTGGGTGACGCATGCGGGCGCGGGCACTGGGGCCTTCGGTG